TATTGCTCATATAAGCATCCAACCTGTGTTTGAAGCTATTCAGCGTATTCGAGTTAATGATGTTATTTGGTAACTTGTTCCATTCATCCACTACTCTCCATCACTGCTCCTCCTCCCTCAACACACACACCTCGTCCTCCTACTCTTTGATGGAGGACGAGAGTCTTCCTTGGTGTCGGACAGTTTATACAGATTTTTTTTTTTTTTAACAGGATTAGCCCACCCGGGCTGGGTCACTGACCCACATCGGGACCTGGGGGCGAAAATGAAAATGTAATAATAATAATAATAATAATAATAATAATAATAATAATAATAATAATAATAATAAATACAAAAATGAAAAAAGATCGAGAGTTAAAAACAATATACTGTATGTTTGTTGTGTTGTCATAGTAAGAGAAACAATTGAGACCTTACAATTGTGTGTAAATGAAGCAGAAAGTCAGATCATCAACCTGGGACTTGGTCACATATGGCAGCAGGGTCTACCATTAAACTACATGCTTCCAATATCTTCCCAGGCGGTAGTACCTCCCTGTTTGGTAGCTGCCTGAGTTACCCCTCACAAGCGCTACCCGAGCCACCTAACACACCCCCCTGTGCTACGACACTCCCCTAACACATTCCCCTAACACACACCCTTAACACACTCTTCTGCACCATATATTCAATTGTAAACACGCTCGGTCTTGAGAATGGTAACCAGGCGGCCATAGCTCTAGAGGCGACATGAGGACAAGGCTGTGTTAACTTGGCCTGCGTCATTAAGGGAAACAAGAGTGTGGAGTGTGTGTGTGTGTGTGTGTGTGTGTGTGTGTGTGTGTGTCTGTGTGTGTGTGTGTGTGTGTGTGTGTGTGTGTGTGTGTGTGTGTGTGTGTGTGTGTGTGTGTGTGTGTGTGTGTGTGTGTGTCTGTGTGTCTGTCTGTGTGTGTGTGTGTGTGTGTGTGTGTGTGTGTGTGTGTGTGTGTGTCCAGAATTAAACAGCAATAACAATAACAACAACAGAATAACAATAACAATAACAACACAAGGAGAGGATCAATAAGAGTGTTGCCAGGTGGGTGGTCATCAATTAAACAGACACCAGTCACTCGCATACAACTTGAGCCCAAAAATACGGAGGAAACACCGAGAATAATGACGTGTGTGTGTGTGTGTGTAGGTAGGTAGGTACAGTTCGCATGTATGTATGTATGTATGTGCAGTATGTATGTATGTATGTGTCTGTATGTAGGTACAGTAGACACCAGGCAGCATACACTAAGCCACAACACAGGGTAATAAGAACATAAGAACATAAGAAAATAAGGAGTCTGCAATAGGCCGGTTGGTCTGTGCATGGCAGCTCCTGTCGAGAGTTACTACCACTCTCTATCATCCATGAATCTATCTAGCCTCCGCTTGAAACTTTCCAGAGTTCCAGCACTTACTACAAAGTTGCTAAGGTTGTTCCACTCGTCCGCCACCCTATTTGTGAACCAGTTCCTTCCTATCTCCCTCCTAAACCTAAACTTATCCAACTTAAATCCGTTGCTCCGAGTCCTATCCTGCTCGGATATTATAAGAACTTTATCTATATCCCCTTTATTGATTCCTTTCACCCACTTAAATACTTCTATCATATCTCCCCGCACTCTTCGTCTTTCTAGGGAATACAAGTTAAGTTTCTTTAACCTATCCTGATATGGAAGGTTTCTAAGTCCCGGAATCATTTTCGTCATTCTTCGCTGCACTGACTCTAGTGAATTTATATCCATTCTATAATAAGGACACCAGAACTGAACCGCATAATGGAGGTGCGGTCTGACTAGCGCAAGATATAGTTGCAATATGACCTCTGCACTCTTATTACTTACACTTCTAGATATAAAACCCAATACTCTGTTTGCCTTATTTCGAACATTAACGCACTGTTTTCTAGGCCGTAGGTCCGGGCTTACAAGTACCCCTAGGTCTCTTTCACAAGTCGACTTCTCTAGGTTACCTGGCCAGACTCTACGAATTAAAAGGTAATAAGGTCACACGGGGACGGGAAATTATCAACAAAATCTACTTTTTCTTTATTTATTTTTGTCCCGTTTCATTATTATTGTTAATTTGGTGTTTGTTTGAGGTTAGGTTAGGTTAGGTTAGGTTAGGTTAGGTTAGCTTAGGCTAGGTTAGGTTAGGTTAGGTTAGGTTAGGTTAGGTTAGGTTAGGTTAGGCTAGGTTAGGTTAGGTTAGGTTAGGTTAGGTTAGGTTAGGTTAGGTTAGGGTTAGGTTAGGTTAGGTTAGGTTAGGTTAGGTTAGGCTAGGTTAGGTTAGGTTAGGTTAGGTTAGCATTATATGACAAAAAACCACGTACAGGTATTTTACATTTTTATCAGCTCACAACATCATAAAGACAATGACAACAACAATAACCATTTTTAACGACAACAAGAGACTCACAACCCTGACCTACAACAAGAGACTCACAACCCTCACCTACAACAAGAGACTCACAACCCTCACCTACAACAAGAGACTCACAACCCTCACCTACAACAAGAGACTCACAACCCTCACCTACAACAAGAGACTCACAACTGACCTACAACAGAGACTCACAACCCTCACTACAGCAGAGACTCACTCACCTACAACAAGAGAGACTCACAGCCTCACCTACAACAAGAGACTCACAACCCTCACCTACAACAAGAGACTCACAACCCTCACCTACAACAAGAGACTCACAACCCTCACCTACAACAAGAGACTCACAACACCTGGTGACATTATGAAAAATCCTCGTCGTTATAATAAGAATTAATTAAACGCTGGAATTTTTCGTCCTGGCAATTATTATTTTGTTAAGAATGACCTTACTGCTGACACCTTACTGCTGACACCTTACTGCTGACACCCGTACACTGATACCACCTTACTGCTGACACCCGTGCACTGATACCACCTCTCTGCTGACACCCGTGCACTGATACCACCTCTCTGCTGACACCCGTGCACTGATACCACCTTACTGCTGACACCCGTGCACTGATACCACCTCTCTGCTGACACCTGCACTGATACCTCCTTCTGCTGACACCTGCACTGATACCACCTCTGCTGACACCCGTGCACTGATACCACCTCTCTGCTGACACCCGTGCACTGATACCACCTCTGCTGACACCCGTGCACTGATACCACCTCTTGTGACACCCGTGCACTGATACCACCTTACTGCTGACACCCGTGCACTGATACCACCTCTGCTGACACCCGTGCACTGATACCACCTCTGCTGACACCCGTGCACTGATACCACCTCTGCTGACACCCGTGCACTGATACCACCTCTCTGCTGACACCCGTGCACTGATACCACCTCTCTGCTGACACCCGTGCACTGATACCACCTTACTGCTGACACCCGTGCACTATGATACCACCTCTCTGCTGACACCCGTGCACTGATACCACCTCTCTGCTGACACCCGTGCACTGATACCACCTTACTGCTGACACCCGTGCACTGATACCACCTCTCTGCTGACACCCGTGCACTGATACCACCTCTCTGCTGACACCCGTGCACTGATACCACCTTACTGCTGACACCCGTGCACTGATACCACCTCTGCTGACACCCGTGCACTGATACCACCTCTCTGCTGACAACCCGTGCACTGATACCACCTTACTGCGACACCCGTGCACTGATACCACCTCTGCTGACAACCCGTGCACTGATACCACCTTACTGGACACCCGTGCACTGATACCACCTTACTGCTGACACCCGTGCACTGATACCACCTCTCTGCTGACACCCGTGCACTGATACCACCTTACTGCTGACACCCGTGCACTGATACCACCTCTCTGCTGACACCCGTGCACTGATACCACCTCTCTGCGACACCCGTGCACTGATACCACCTTACTGCTGACACCCGTGCACTGATACCACCTTCTGCTGACACCCGTGCACTGATACCACCTCTCTGCTGACACCCGTGCACTGATACCACCTCTCTGCTGACACCCGTGCACTGATACCACCTTACTGCTGACACCCGTGCACTGATACCACCTCTCTGCTGACACCCATGCACTGATACCACCTTACTGCTGACACTCGTACACTGACAAATATTCACTGCTGACACCCGTACACTGACAAATATTCACTGCTGACACTCGTACACTGACATCACCTCACCGCTGACACGCTGCTTGACTGACATTATCTCATTGCTGACACACAGACTGACTGACACTATCTTCCCCCAGACTGACTGACTGCCACAGTTAACTGGCTGACAATCTCTTACTCCTGACAGTTCTAACCAGCGTGAAGAAAATACTGCTGGCAATATTTCCTCACTGAGAGAGAGAGAGAGAGAGAGAGAGTTATAATAATGAACCTAAGGAATTATCTTAATATTGTAGTGAATTATTCCCATATTTTTATTCCATATTTTTTAGGTGTTGAGTCAGCCACTATGTTGGGTTATTATATGTTTGTTTGTTTGTTTGTTTGGTTGCTTGTTTCTTTTTTTAAGTTTGAGGAGAGTTCTAAACACACACACACACACACACACACACACACACACACACACACACACACACACACACACACACACACAGCGTTACAGTGTTCAGTGTTTCAGTAAGACATTGATTTACAGTTATTAACAGTGTATCTATCATGGTGGAGGTACCTCGTGACCTCTCAGTCATGGTGGAGGTAACTAGTGGCCTCTCAGTCATGATGCGGACCTCGTGACCTCTCAGCCATGGTGGAGGTACCTGCATCTCTCAGTCATGGTGGAGGTAACTGGTGGCCTCTCAGTCATGGGAGGTACCTCGTGACCTCTCAGCCATGGTGGAGGTACTGTGACCTCTCAGCCATGGTGGAGGTACCTCGTGACCTCTCAGTCATGGTGGAGGAACTGGTGGCCTCTCAGTCATGGTGGAGGTACCTCGCCTCTCAGTCATGGTGAGGTAACTGGTGGCTCTCAGTCATGATGGAGGCTCGTGATCTCTCAGCCATGGTGGAGGTACTTCATCCTCTCAGCCATGGTGTGGGGGTGCCTGTAACCTCTGGTGACCTCTCGGCCATGGTGGAGGTAACTGGTGGCCTCTCAGCCATGTTGCCGGCACAGTAGCTGGTACACACCTGGTCGGCCTCTCAGTCATGGCCTCCCATGCGAGTGTCTTAAAGGTGCAGGTACCATGGCCCGTCTGCCGGGCCTCACCACATGGCCAACACCACCACATGGCCAACACCAGCCTTGGCCTCATGACCTGGCCACTCAAGAGCGCCATCCCTTAAACAGTTGTGGCCACCATGAACCTCCAGCTGACACATCCCTTGGCCATCTTGTTCCAATATTTGGCCACATCCCTGGGCCACACTCGCCGTAATCCTTGAATCATCTGTTCCTAATACTTATCCAATCGTCCCCTGATATCCTAACCCTAATCCTCAGTCACTCTCGCTCTAATCCTCAGTCACTCGCTCTAATCCTCAGTCACTCTCGCTCTAATCCTCAGTCACTCTCGCTCTAATCCTCAGTCACTCGCCTAACTCAGTCACCGCCTAATCCTCGGTCACTCCCGCCTAATCCCAGTCACTCGCCTAATCCTCAGTCACTCGCTCTAATCCTCAGTCACTCGCTCTAATCCTCAGTCACTCGCCTCTAATCCTCAGTCACTCGCTCTAATCCTCAGTCACTCGCCTAATCCTCAGTCACTCTCGCTCTAATCCTCAGTCACTCGCTCTAATCCTCAGTCACCTCGCTCTATCCTCAGTCACTCGCCTAATCCCTCAGTCACCTCGCCTAATCCTCAGTCACTCTCGCTCTAATCCTCAGTCACCTCGCCTCTAATCCTCAGTCACTCTCGCTCCAATCCTCAGTCACTCTCGCCTAATCCTCAGTCACTCTCGCTCTAATCCAGTCACCTGCTCTAATCCTCAGTCACTCTGCCTCTAATCCTCAGTCACCTCGCCTAACTCAGTCACCTCGCCTAATCCTCAGTCACCTGCCTAACCAGTCACCTCGCCTAACTCAGTCACCTCGCCTAATCCTCGGTCACCTCGCTCTAATCCTCAGTCACTCTCGCTCTAATCCTCAGTCACTCGCTCTAATCCTCAGTCACCTCGCTCTAATCCCTCGGTCACTCCTCGCTCTAATCCTCAGTCACTCCTGCCTAATCCTCAGTCACTCGCCTAATCCTCAGTCACTCTCGCTCTAATCCTCAGTCACCTCGCTCTAATCCTCGGTCACCTCGCCTCTAACTCGGTCACTCCGCTCTAATCCTCGGTCACTCGCTCTAATCCTCAGTCACTCCAACCTCGTCACTCGCTCTAATCCTCAGTCACTCGCTCTAATCCTCAGTCACTCGCCTAATCCTCATCCCCAATCCCCAGTCACTCGCTCTAATCCTCAGTCACCTCGCTCTAATCCTCAGTCACTCTCGCCTAATCCTCGGTCACTCGCTCTAATCCCCGGTCACTCGCTCTAATCCTCAGTCACTCGCTCTAATCCCTCAGTCACTCTCGCTCTAATCCTCAGTCACCTTCGCTCTAATCCTCAGTCACTCGCCTAACTCAGTCACCTCGCTCTAATCCTCAGTCACTCGCCTAACTCGGTCACTCGCTCTAACTCGGTCACTCGCCTAATCCCGGTCACTCGCTCTAATCCTCGGTCACTGCCTAATCCTCAGTCACTTCGCTCTAATCCTCGGTCACTCTCGTCTAATCCTCAGTCACTCTCGCCTAATCCTCGGTCATCTCGCTCTAATCCTCGGTCACTCTCGCTCTAATCCTCGGTCACTCGCCTAATCCTCGGTCACCTCGCTCTAATCCTCGGTCACCTCGCTCTAATCCTCAGTCACTCTCGCTCTAATCCTCAGTCACTCTCGCTCAATCCTCGGTCACTCAGCCTAAAATGATCCTTTCAATGTGTTACCTTAAAATCACCTTTAATTCCCCCAAGGTAATTCGGACTCGTTACCCTACGTTAATTTCGGTGACAACTCAGTACAACACACCAGACACCAGAGACCCCAGGTGACCCCCAGATACCCCCAGATGACCCTCTAGGTGACCCCCAGATGACACACAAAGTATAGGTGACCTAAGGAAGGTTAATGTAGTGATGAGAGGTAGGTGTGTGTGGTGTAGGTAGGTGTGTGTGGGTGTGGTAGGGTAGGGCGTGGTGGTGTAGTGGTGGGTGTGTGGTGGGGGAGGTAGGTGTGTGGTGGTGTAGGTAGGTGTGTGGTGGTGTAGGTAGGTGTGTGGTGGTGTAGGTGGGTGTGTGGTGGTGTAGGTAGGTGTGTGGTGGGGGAGGTAGTGTGTGGTGGTGTAGGTAGGTGTGTGGTGGTGTGGGTAGGTGTGTGGTGGTGTAGGTAGGTGTGGTGGGGAGGTAGGGTGTGTGGTGGTGTAGGTAGGTGTGGTGGTGTAGGTAGGTGTGTGGTGGTGTGGGTAGGTGTGTGGTGGTGTGTAGGTGTGTGGTGGTGTAGGTAGGTGTGTGGTGGTGTAGGTAGGTGTGTGGTGGTGTAGGTAGGTGTGTGTGGTGTGGTGGTGTAGGTAGGTGTGTGGTGGTGTGTGGTGGTGTAGGTAGGTGTGTGGTGAGGTAGGTGTGTGGTGGGGAGGTAGGTGTAGGTGAGGGGTAGGTGTGGTGGTGTAGGTAGGTGTGGTGGTGTAGGTGTGTATGGTGGTGTAGGTAGGTGTGTGGTGGTGTAGGTAGGTGTGTGGTGGTAGTGGGTGGCGTGGTAGGTAGGTGTGTGGTGGTAGGTAGGTAGGCAGGTGTGTGGTGGGTAGGTAGGTGTAGGCAGGTGTGTGGTGGGGAGGTAGGGTGTGGTGGGGAGGGTAGGTGTGTGGTGGTGTAGGTAGGTGTGGTGGGTAGGAGGTGGTGTGGAGTGTAGGTGTGTGGTGGGTAGGCAGGTGGTGCAGGCAGGTGTGGTGGGTGTGGGTGTGGCTGGTGCAGGTAGGTGTGTGGTAGGCAGGCAGGTGTGTGGTGGCAGGCAGGTAGTGGTGGCAGGCAGGTGGAGGCAGGGTGTGGTGGGTGGTGTGTGGTGGTGTAGGAGGTGTGTGGTGGTGTAGGTAGGTGTGGTGGTAGGGTAGGTGTGTGGTGGGGGAGAGGTGTGTGGTGGTGTAGGTAGGTGTGTGGTGGTGTGGGTGGGTGTGTGGTGGTGTAGGTAGGTGTGTGGTGGTGTGGGTAGGTGTGTGGTGGGGAGGTGGGTGTGTGGTGGTGTGTGGTGGAGGTAGGTGTGTGGTGGTGTGTGTGTGGTGGGGTAGGTGTGGTGGTGGTGGTAGGTGTGTGGTGGTGTGGGTAGGTGTGTGGTGGTGTAGGTAGGTGTGTGGTGGTGGTGGTGGGTGTGTGGTGGTGTAGGTGTGTGGTGTGGTGGTGTGGGTAGGTGTGTGGTGGGGTAGGTAGGTGTGTGGTGGGGAGGTAGGTGGTGGGGAGGTAGTGTGTGGTGGTGTGGTGGTGTAGGTAGGTGGTAGTATAGAAGACTGGGAGGGTGCAGAGAGAATTGAGGGCGGGAGGAAGGAAGTGTGTGTGTATGTGTGTGTGTGTGTGTGTGTAGGCTAGAAGAGGTGTGTTAGGGTGTGTGGAGTGATGCCCCACTTCCCACCTCCTACCTCTCCTGCCTCCTACTTCCTGCCTTCAACTTCCTGCCTCCTACTTCCTGCCTTCAACTTCCTGCCTCCCTACTTCCTGCCTCCCTACTTCCCACCTCCTACTTCCTGCCTCCTACTTCCCACCTCCCACTTCCAGCCTCCTACTTCCTGCCCTCAACTTCCTGCCTCCTACTTCCTGCCTTCAACTTCCTGCCTCCTACTTCCTGCCTCCTCCTACTTCCCACCTCCTACTTCCTGCCTCCTACTTCCCACCTCCTACTTCCTGCCTCCTACTTCCCACCTCCTACTTCCTGCCTCCAACTTCCTGCCTCCTTCAACTTCCTGCCTTCAACTTCCTGCCTCCTACTTCCCACCTCCTACTTCCCACCTCCTACTTCCTGCCTCCTGCTTCCTGCCTTCAACTTCCTGCCTCCTACTTCCTGCCTTCTAACTTCCTGCCTTCAACTTCCTGCCTTCAACTTCCTGCCTCCTCACTTCCCGCCTCCTACTTCCTCCACCTCCTATTTCCCACCTCCTACTTCCTGCCTCCCCTACTTTCCACCTCCTACTTCCTGCCTCCTACTTCCCACCTCCTCCTACTTCCTGCCTCCAACTTCCTGCCTTCAACTTCCTGCCTTCAACTTCCTGCCTCCTACTCCCACCTCCTACTCCCTCCCACCTCCACTTCCTGCCTCCTACTTCCTGCCTTCAACTTCCTGCCTCCTACTTCCTGCCTTCAACTTCCTGCCTTCAACTTCCTGCCTCAACTCCGCCTCCTACTTCCCGCCTCCTACTTCCTACCTCCTACTTCCCACCTCCTACTCCTGCCTCCAACTTCCTGCCCTTCAACTTCCTGCCTTCAACTTCCTGCCTCCTACTTCCTGCCTTCAACTTCCGCCTCCTACTCCTGCCTCCTACTTCCTACCTCCTACTTCCCACCTCCTACTTCCTGCCTCCTACTCCCACCTCCTACTTCCTGCCTCCTACTTCCCACCTCCTACTTCCTGCCTCCAACTTCCTGCCTTCAACTTCCTGCCTTCAACTTCCCTGCCTCCTACTTCCCACCTCCTACTCCCACCTCCTACTTCCTGCCTCCTACTTCCTGCCTTCAACTTCCTGCCTCCTACTTCCTGCCTTCAACTTCCTGCCTTCAACTTCCTGCCTTCAACTTCCTGCCTCCTACTTCCTGCCTCCTACTTCCTACCTCCTACTTCCCACCTCCTACTTCCTGCCTCCAACTTCCTGCCTCCAACTTCCTGCCTTCAACTTCCTGCCTCCTACTTCCCACCCTCCTACTTCCTGCCTCCTACTTCCACCTCCTACCCTGCCTCCAACTTCCTGCCTCTCAACTTCCTGCCTTCAACTTCCTGCCTCCTACTTCCCACCTCCTACTTCCCACCTCCTACTTCCTGCCTCCTACTTCCCACCTCCTACTTCCCACCTCCCACTCTGCCTCCCACTTCCCACCTCCTACTTCCTGCCTCCCACTCCCACCCCTACTTCCTGCCTCCTACTTCCCACCTCCTACTTCCTGCCTCCCACTTCCCACCTCCAACTTCCCACCTCCTACTTCCTGCCTCCTACTCCCACCTCCCACTTCCTGCCCTCCTACTCCTACCACCTCCTACTTCCTGCCTCCCTACTTCCTGCCTTCAACTTCCTGCCTCCCACTTCCTGCCTCCTACTCCTGCCTCCTACTTCCTGCCTCCCTACTTCCTACCTCCTACTTCCTCCTGCCTCCTACTCTGCCTCCTACTCTGCCTCCACAACTTCCTCACCTCCTACTTCCTGCCTCCTACTCTGCCTCCTACTTCCTGCCTCCCACTTCCTACCTCCCTACTTCCTGCCTCCTACTCCTGCCTCCCACTTCCTGCCTCCTACTTCCCGCCTCCCACTCCTGCCTCCTACTCCCTGCCTCCCACTTCCCGCCTCCCACTTCCCCGCCTCCCACTTCCTGCCTCCTACTTCCTCCTCCTCACTGCCTCCCACTTCCTGCCTCCCACTTCCTGCCTCCTACTTCCCTGCCTCCTACTCCCTGCCTCCTCACTTCCTGCCTCCTACTTCCTGCCTCCCCTACTTCCTGCCTCTCAACTTCCTGCCTCACTTCCTGCCTCCTACTTCCTGCCTCCACTCTGCCTCCCACTTCCCACCTCCCTACTCTGCCCCTACTTCCTGCCTCCTACTTCCTGCCTCCAACTTCCACCTCCCACTTCCTGCCTCCCACTTCCTGCCTCCCACTCTGCCCTACTTCCTACCTCCTACTTCCTGCCTCCCACTTCCTGCCTCCTACTTCCTGCCTCCTACTTCCTGCCTCCCACTTCCTGCCTCCCACTTCCTGCCTCCTACTTCCTGCCTCCCTACTTCCTGCCTCCCTACTTCCCGGGCCTCCTACTTCCTGCCTCCTACTTCCTACCTCCTACTTCCTGCCTCCTACGTCCTGCCTCCTACTCCTGCCTCCCACTTCCTGCCTCCCACTTCCTGCCTCCCACTTTCTGGCTCCCACTTCCTGCCTCCTACTTCCTCCCCTCCCACTTCCTGCCTCCCTACTTCCTGCCTCCCACTTCCTACCTCCTACTCCTGCCTCCTACTTCCTGCCTCCTGCCTCTGCCTCCTACTTCCCGCCTCCTACCCCACTTCCTACCTCCCACTTCCTGCCTCCCTACTTCCTGCCTCCCACTTCCCACCTCCTACTCCTGCCTCCCACTTCCGCCTCCCACTTCCCGCCTCCTACTTCCTGCCTCCCACTTCCCACCTCCCACCTCCTGCCTCCTACTTCCTGCCTCCCACTTCCTGCCTCCCACTTCCTGCCTCCTACTTCCTGCCTCCTACTTCCTGCCTCCTACTCCCACCTCCTACTCCTACCTCCCCACTTCCTACCTCCCACTTCCCGCCTCCTACTTCCTGCCTCCTACTTCCTGCCTCCCACCTCCCACTTCCTGCCTCCTACTTCCCACCTCCTACTTCCTGCCTCCCACCTCCCACCTTCCTGCCTCCTACTCTGCCCTACTTCCTGCCTCCCACTTCCCACCTCCCACTTCCTGCCTCCCACCTCCTACTCCTCCTGCCTCCTACTTCCTGCCTCCTACTTCCTGCCTCCTACTTCCTGCCTCCTACTCCCACCTCCCACCTCCCACCTCCTACTTCTGCCTCCTACTTCCTGCCTCCTACTTCCTGCCTCCTACTTCCTGCCTCCTAACTAACAACACGCACATCTTCACTACCTCCTGTCACACGCACACAACATTGACAAGCTCACACATACCTGGATTGTGAAACGGTAGTTAATGCCACCACCACCGTCAACACTAGTAGCAGTTGTGGTAGTACTAGTGGCAGTTGTGGTAGTACTAGTAGGAGTTGTGGTAGTACTAGTAGGAGTTGTGGTAGTACTAGTAGGAGTTGTGGTAGTACTATTAGTAGTTGTGGTAGTACTAGTCGGAGTTGTAGTTTACTCAACACGACCAGCGAGGATTTTGTCGCTGGTTGAGGTAGATTGTAAGGTCTTGCCTTATAGTGCGACGTGGATGACGTGTCGCTCGGTCTGACGCTACTGTGATTGACGCATTGCAAGGTCTTACGGTCAGCCGGTACAGTGGCTGAGGTACGGTAACTGCGCCGGTACAGTGGCTGAGGTACAGTAAATGCGCCGGTACAGTGGCTGAGGTACAGTAACTGCGCCGGTACAGTGGCTGAGGTACAGTAATTGCGCCGGTACAGTGGCTGAGGTACAGTAATTGCGCCGGTACACAGTCAAGGGTTGTGAGCCGCAGCGCTCAATGGGTGATGTTAGTCGATGGCGTAAGGGGGGCGGCGGTCTGGTGTGTCTGTGTCTGTCTGTCTGTCTGTGTGCGTGTGCAGCCACGTCCTGCCACTGTGGCGTCTACCACCACACTGATGTTGCCTGCCCTGCCGCCCGCCCGCCCGCCCGCCCGCCTGCCACCCGTGCCACCCTCCTGCCATCCCTTCCGTGCCTCCCTTCCTACCTTCCCCGGTACTCTTCCCATCCCTGCCGTTCTTCTTGCCGCCCATACCACCCCTCACGCCACCCATCCCTTCCTTTCTTATGCCTTTCAAGCCACCCACCGCCACATATGCCATTCCAAGCCATCGCCATCCCACTGCCCACCCACTTTGCCGCCCGCCCTCCCATTCCCACATCCTCTGCCTCCCCCACTATTATACACCTCCCACTCCCATGCATTTTCACCACCCACCCTGCCGCCCACCCTCCCGCCACCCATCCTCCTCCATTAGTGGTTCAGTGAGGCAGCAAGACGATAACGCCGAGTCTTGTGTGATGATGAAGCTGTTACACTACTAACACCACCACTATCACCACCACTATCACCACCATTACTATCACCACCACCACTGCTATCATCACCACCATTACTATCACCACCACCACTGCTATCATCACCACCATTACTATCACCACCACCACCCCCACTGCTATCATCACCACCATTACTATCACCAGCATCACTATCACCAGCATCACTATCACCACCATTACTATCATCACCACCATCACCACCATTACTATCACCACCACCACTGCTATCATCACCATTACTATCATCACCACCATTACTATCACCAGCATCACTATCACCACCATCACCATCACCACCATTACTATCATCACCACCATCACTATCATCACCATTACTATCATCACCACCATCATATCACCACCACTTCATCACCATCCATCACTATACCACCATCACTATCACCACTTAAATCACCACCATCACCACCCAAATCACCACAACTATCACCATCACCTACCATCACCACTACTATCACCTACCACTACTACTATTATCACCACATCACCACCATCACTCTACTACCTATCATCACACTACCATCACCACTACTACTAATCATCACTCCACCATCACCACTACTACTATCATCACCACTACTATCACCACTACTACTATCATCACCACCAACACCATTAAGAACAACAAGGGCGTAAACACACGTATAAAGTAATTAATAACAATAAAGATGAAGTTATATATTACTGCATCAGGGGCTCACCACCACAACCAACTCACAACCACCTTACCACCACACAACCACCTCACAACCACAACCTCCTTACAACCACCTCACCACCACAACCAACTCACAACCACAACCACCTTACAACCACAACCACACCACACAACCATAACCCCCTTACAACCACCTTACCACCACAACCACCTTACCACCACAACCACCTTACCACAACCACCACACCACAGCCAAACCACCTCACCACCACAACCAACTCACAACCACACCCACACACCACCTTACAACCACAACCACCTCACAACCATAACCTCTCACAACCACCTCACCACCACAACCACCTTACAACCACCTCACAACCAAACCACCTCGTAACCACAACTACCTCACAACCATTATTTAACATTATTACATCTCGTCAATTAAACCAACGTCGTCAAGGAGTTAAACCATCATCCTCAAAGGGTTTAAACCATCACAGTTTATTTACAACAGTACTGGTAGACAATACTGTAAACAGCTATCAGGGTTCGTTGTTTACAAGTTTAGTTCCCGCGGCGGCCACAGTGGCGCTTCTTGGCCTATCAGCTGTTCTTTGTTTACTTCTTTACGTCATCATCACACTACCGATGAGACAGTATGTGCCATGACGTGATGACAGTCTCGTGGTGGTGGTGACGGCGTAAGGGTGGTTTTGGTGGTGAAAGGGTAGTGTTGATGGTGGGCGTCAGTGTATCAGTAACAAGGAGAGAAAGAGAGAGAGAGAGAGAGAGAGAGAGAGAGAGAGAGCCTACACTTACTTTAAGTCAATAATGAACCATCGGACTCAGTGTTGCTAGAGGTTATTACTGCGGGGGAGGGTGGTGGGGAGGGGTGGTGGGGGAGAGGGGGGGGGGAGAGGGTGGGGAGAGGGTGGTGGGGTAGAGGTGGTGGGAGAGGGTGGTGGGGGAGAGGAGGGTTGTGAGGAAGGCAGAGAAGAGGAGGCAAGTGTGTGAGGGTAATGAGGCAGAGAGGAGGAAGGGGGAGGGGATGAAAGAAAGGGTTAGGAGAGGATAGGAGGTAAGGTGAAGGAGGAGAAAGGGGAGAAGGAGGAGGAGGAGGAGTGGGGGAAGACGAGGAAAAGAGGAGGGGAAGGAGCCTCGCTGGGGTTTCAAGCACTTGATGAGGATCTTTGATGAGCAACTTCCTGGAGAGAGAGAGAGAGAGAGAGAGAAAAAAAAAAAAAAGAGAGAGAGAGACAGAGAGTGTGTCTCCACCAATACCGGGTAATAAGGTGGTGTGGCTGACCTGCTAGGCCCTACGAGACGCTCGCTGGGTCCTAGGAGAAGCTGGGAGACGCTATGTTCTAGAGATGCTGGGTGCTAGGATATGCTGGGGACATGTTCTCCTGTAAGACTGTAAAGTATATATGTGTGTGTGTGTGTGTGTATGTGTGTGTGTGTGTG